TTGCGGATGATGCCGCCGTCCTCGACGACGGCCGTGATGGACGCGCGCCCGCAGGCCGTCCCCGCCGCGAGGTCAGCGCACGGCGGTGACGAGATGGCTGACGAAGAGCAGTGCTGACGAGACGGCCAGCGGTGACGAGATGGCTGACGAAGAGCAGTGCTGACGAGATGGCCAGCGGTGACGAGATAGCTGACGGAGAGTAGCGCCGACGAGACGACCAGCGGTGACGAGATGGCTGACGAAGGGCAGTGCTGGACGAGATGGCCAGCAGTGATGAGATAGCTGACGGAGAGTAGCGCTGACGAGACGGCCAGCGGTGACGAGATAGCTGACGGAGAGTAGCGCTGACGAGATGGTCAGCGGTGACGAGATGGCTGACGGAGAACAGTGCTGACGAGATGGCCAGCAGTGATGAGACGGCCAACGGAGAGCAGCGTGGACGAGATGGCGAGCGGCGACGAGCCGGCGGATGGTGACAGCCGCATGATAGGTGACAGGCGGTAATGCGACGGCCAGCGACGCTGAGACGAGCGACGACGACGGGACTGGTGGTGGTACCTGACGAGACGGCCAGCGGTGACGAGACGACCGGACGGCGACGGGACTGGTGGTGGTACCTGACGAGACGACCACCGGCGACGGGACCTGGTGGTGGTGCCTGACGAGACAGTCGGTGGTAACGAGGTGGGCGGCAGGGCGATGCTTGTACGCTTTACTGCCGCCAGCGTCGCCCGTCGCCCCAAATTGGCTTAAGTAGCCGTTCGCCGGTGCCCGGTAATTGAAGGAGTGCTTCGGGCGCAGCGGGCGGGCGGCTGCGTCGCCGGCCGCAGGCAGCACCAGCCGACCACCGAGCTGGGGTGAAGGCCGCCAGGCGATCGCCAGCTCACTGCGCCAGCGGCGGAGGCTGTTCGGTCGGCTGAAGGCGAGCCACGAGACCTGTGGCTGACTCCATTTCTCCCTGATCGATCTCGGGGCACATTCGTCGGCCAGGCGTCCGACTCCGGGCCCGGCTCCACGCGCCCGACTCTGACCCTGACTTCACATTCGTGCATGCCCCATTTAGCAGGCACAGTTTAAGCGAACGTTGATACTTTACTCCAACTTCGAATGATACTAATTATAGCCCTAGTTCCCGAACGCTACTGAATCCCGGAATTAGGTCGGTTCAGGTATACTTTGACAAAGACAGTTTAGGAGACCCAGCGTTGAGACGCATGTGAAGGTATGCAGTGTACCGGTTGCAACTTTTTCAAACCGTAAAAGTAAGAATCCGAGCTGCTAAAGCTGCACATCAGAGAGCGAGAGGGAAGGGTGCAGGTGCTATTCGTTGGCCTCAATAGCATTCCTTCGGAAATTCCAGGCTTCCGTGGCTTTAAGTACTGGAAAAAAACACGAGAAAAAAAACACCAGAAAAGCGCGTGATTCCGGTCTGTTGCTTACCATTCACAATGGTCTCGCATAAGGAGCCATCACCCCTCCCCCTCCATAAGAGAACAGGAATCTGCACGAGACTGCAGCTGCTGCTCCCAGGAGGAGTCCCACGAAGATTCCTGTCAGGGCCTTCTGTCTTCTGTTGTTGATTGATAACGTCATCTGTAAGCCTTTACTGTTTGACACGCGCCCGGGCCGGTGTGGGTCAATTTCACTCCCGGAATATTTTTACACCGCAAGTTCTGAACGGCGCGGCGTGGCAGCGCAGCCTTAGGCAGTAGCTCCAGGCCGTTGTATAGGAAGGCAATTTCTAGGGAATCGTTCAATTTGATGCGGCAACAGAGTGTCAGACGAAGCCATACATGTCTTAGACAGCTTCTTAGGCATTAAACCAACTGAATTACAATTAAAACAAATTCCATCGCCCTAGTGCCAGAACGAGGCATGGTCAGAAGGCTATACCGATGTATAAACTAATCCGCTTTTTAGTCCGAGAACTTGCTATACGGGGTAGTTCTGGCGATCAGTTTGAGTGTCTTTAAGGAGGCGGTGATGATTTTTTCAGCCTCATTTGACCGGGTTACTGTCAGCGGTTGAAGTGACCCGGGACACATTTCAGGCGTGAACATTTGTGAAAACTGCCAGATGCGTACCCAGGCTAAGTTCTGAAGGAGGCTTTCGTGGTCCTTTCCGACACAATTCTCGGGCCATTGGATTTCCCGAGTGATGTCCTGAACAACAAGTAATTGTATTCGAATGGCACGATTCGGTATTATCCCCGCCCTGTCGCCTTCTGTAAGCAGCAGATTGAACACTACATACTTGAATAGTTTCCGCTTACACATACCTTAA